AAGCAATGGCCAGGCCACATGGCCCAAAGCAGGAACTTTTCAGAAAACAATTCTAAAGATAAACAAAAAGGAAGCTTTGATAGAAAAGATGCTCTTCTCCTAGCCTGTATCCTTTGTGTCTGGTGAAGCAGCATGTGATGTGGTGGTGGAGAGTTTATAGGGGAAAAAAAACTGCTCATCCAATGGCGCCTGGGAAGTAAAGAAAAAGTAAGGAAGAGCCTTGTGTCCCACGGTCCCCTTGGTGGGCCCACCCCTCTGACCTAAGAATATCCCTTAGGTCTTATGTCTTCAGGTTCTCATCACCAAGCCTTCCACACACCAGCCTCTGGGGACATTGTAAACCCAATGAAGCATTTCCCATAGCAACAGAAACTGGTGGCCCAAAACAAATTACCATGCTGATTAAGTCTATATCACCTTTCATGATTCTTGTACTACAGAGAGTAATGCAGGACTTGTCTTTTATTGATTTGCCTCCAGGTCTGCTATCCGGTGCAGATAACTAACTTAGATCCTTGTTGTCTTAGCTCCATGAAAGCGGTTATGATGCTGGCAAAGCCCTGCAGCGCTTGGTCAAGAAGCCCGTGCCCAAGTTGATCGAGAAGTGTTGGACCGAGGACGAAGTGGTGAGCATGGGGACCGCATTTGCTTTGTATTGTGGGCCACTGGGGCTTTCCTTCCCCTTGGGGAGAAAGACCTCATTCAGATAGCCCATCTAGGCCTCCACAGGAGGCCTAGATCTGATGACCCTGGTTCAAAGCTAGCCTGGGAAAGTCTGTGAGACTATCTCCAGTTAATCAGCCTTGAGCAAAAACGCTTAGGGACAACTCCAGGCCCTGAGTTCAAGCCCCACAACAGACAAAAACGAAAAAGAAAAGGGAGAAGTACCTTCAAGCCTCATAATTGTATTGAAAGACTTGGTTTTAGTCAGATGAGGGTCCATGGCTGATAGGAGAGATTTCCCCAAGTTTCATGAAGAGGAGAAAAGTATAGTTCCTAAGAAAAGTTAATTTGGGTTTGTTTCAGGTGCAAGCTTGCTATGGTAACTCCTTCCTTTAAGATGGGAGTATGCCAAGCCTGTTCCACATAACCTAGAGTACCATTGGTGACTCAGATTTATTTTGAGGACTTAACTTAGCCTACTGAAGATCATTAATCAAAAGCAAGAAGTATAGACTTGATTGAATAGGAAGTGGATTTGACATAATCATTTCCTTGGCTGTGGCCCATTAAGGAAGGTGAGGCGTGGTTAAGCTTGTTGTTGGTACATGATTTTAATCTCAGGTACTTGAGATGGAGACAGAAAGATCATAGTTTGAAGCTAACCAGGCAAAGTCAGCATAAAGCCCTATCTCAAACAATGAAGCTGGGTGTGGTGATGCTTGCCTGTGGTCCCAGCTACTGGGTAGGAAGATCATGGTTTGGCAGAGTTAGCATGAAGGCCTTCTTGGAAAAACGAAAAGCAAAAGGAAGAAGGAGCCTCAAGTGGTCCTGAGTTCCATTCCCCAGTACCAGCAAAAAGGGGAACATACAGTGAATGGAGAAATATACCCACAAATAAAGGCTAGAAAACCCAAGAGATCTCACGCAGTTCTGTCCCCCTTGGGTGACATACGGAAGGTATTGCTGGAATGTTGTACAGATATCTTGTGCTTTCATAAGCAATGCTCATTATGAATGTTACTGCTAGACCTTTGCCCTTCAGGTCAAATGACACTGAAAATGCATCACTGATTCCAAGTTCCTCACCTATATTTTAAAGAATGTGAAAGGAGAATGCTTAGAAATGGCGCCAGTGGCTCACGGCTCACACCTGTAATCCTAGCTACTCAGGAGGCTGAGATGTGAGGATTCCAGCCCAGGCAGGAAAGTCCATGAAGCTCTTATCGCCAACAAACCACTAGAAAACCAGAAGTGGCACTGTTGCTCAAGTGTTGAAGAGCGCAAGGACAGCGCCCAAGCCCAGAGTTCAAACCCCAAGACTGACAAAAAAAAAAAAAAAGAAAGAAAGAAATGGCAGTGCTTTCTTGTACAGGTGGAATAGCTGTTCTGTCCCTCCTGAAGTGCCCTGTGTTCTGAGTGAGAAGACCACCTGTCAGTGTGTGTCAGGGGAAAATAGAAAAGGATAAACGAGAGTGGAAGAGCTAGGTGCAGGCCCTGGCTAAGGGAAGGGCAAGAGCTTCACGAAGTAAGGAGGAGGTGAGAATCCTGGTCCTGAGGGAAAGCAGGCTTGGCCTGGGCAAGAGATAGGAAGGCGTGTGTGTGGCTGGGGTACAGCAGGGAGAGGGTGTGTGGGACAGACAGGCCAGGCATGGCCTGCAAACTCATGGGGGGGTTACTGTGTTGTGCATAGCTTCTGGGGCCCATGGGCTTGAGTGGAATGGGGGTAGGTGAGTAGTATGGCGGCACAGTGAAGGTCTGGTGTGCGCACCAAGACACAGCCAAAAGCATTTCAAGTTCAGACCAAAGCCAGCGCAAAACCACTCCCCTCAGTTGTTTGGGAGAAATCCTGTCTCTTTCACTACAAACCTATTCGTGTGGTGAAGAGTGGAGGAGACCCAAGTGGGTGAGAAGGGCAGAACGAATGTGCCAAGTGCAGTTTCTGCCAGGCTATCCTGGCAGCTCAGATACCATGATGGCGCACCTCATTCCTACCTGCTTTGGTCCTTGAGCAGCTCTGTTCCTCCTCTGCCCCCCTGCCTTCCCCGCACCCCACCCCCCACCACTTCTCCATGTCTCCCTGGTCCCCTCCCTCCCGTCCCTATTGGGTCCCCTGACCTCAGGAATCTGTCCAGTGCACAGCCAAGGCCTGCCTCCTGCCTTGCCTGTGCAGTCAGCTCATGTCCGGCCCCCTGGTGCCTGCCCATGTCCCTGAGGGAGGAGAAGGGGCACCTCAGCCCTCAGACCCAGCCCAGCTTTGTTTTGCAAACACGGCAGGACTGCATGCAGCAGGGACACAGTGAGCACAGACTGCATGAATTGAATTCGGTTCAGGCTCTTTTTCACCGTGTTTGCTTCTTGTTTCAAGAATCACAGTGGTCCTTTCCAGCCCTTGCAGAGCCTCGGGATCAAATGGTTCTCTCGTTTGTGAAAATGAAGCTTCACCCTCCCAACCTGGGCCATACTTCCTCTGAAGGAATCATTCACTGACTGACTGATTGACAAGCTGAGGGAAACTTGGGCCAAAGGCAGGGGGGCCCTTCTGTTGGGGTTCCCACATTTTCTCACCCAGGAATCATAGGAGTATCAAAACAAATGTGCCCTAATACAGTTGCCCATATGCTTAGAACATTCTGGTATTTTTATACTAATTTGATCTAGCACACACACCTAGTGTGTGATGTACCTACAACCCTCACCAGTGACACGCATGCGTGGGAACGCTTTGAAACAGCTCCCTCTATGGGTGGAAGGACCTGGCCTGAAGGTCAGCGAGGCCTCTGCGAAACTCAGTCCTCTGCCTGTCCTGTGCCCCCTGCTCCCTGTTCTGAGCTTGGCCTCTGGTGCTTACCTTTACTGACAGCCTGTCCTTGGCCTCTTTGCACTTACCTTTGTTCACCTGTTCCTCACAGTCTGCCATTGTGAGTGATCACCGTCCTGGTTTGTAGCTTGTTTGGGAAAAGGACTTATTAGAGATGAGGATAATGACTGTCTCCAGGAGAGATGGGGAGGATATCAAAGATTCAATGGTTCAAGGTTATTGCTTTGGAAACTTCTTTGTTATAATTGGGATCTTTTTAAATACAGCATTTAAAAACTTTTAGTAGTGTTTATGAATTAACATCAGAAACATCTTTTATATAAGGGGGAGGGGCATGGCTGAAGTGATAGAGCACCTGCCTAGCAAGCATATAGGGCCCTGAGTTTAAATCCCTGATATCTCCAAACATTAAAATAAACCTTAAAAACAAAAGCCACTGGTTGCCAGTTGCTTACACTTGTAATCCTAGTTACTGTAAAGATGGATCAAAATTCAAGGCCAGTCCAGGCAGAAATACCCATGAAACACTATCTCAAAAATAACCACTTTTTGCTCTGGCTCAAGTGGTAGAGCGCTAGCCTTGAGCTGAAGAGCTGAGGGACAGCGCCCAGGCCCAGAGTTCAGGCCCCACGACCGGACCAAAAAAAAAAAAAAATAACCACTTTACGGGTACCAGTGGCTCATACCTGTAATCCTAGCTGCTCAGGTGGCTGAGATCTAAGGATTGCAGTTCATAGCCAGCTGGGCAGGAAAGTCTGTGAGACTTTTTTTTTTTTTGGTATGTTTTTTATTGTAAAAATAACCATATAGAGGTTACAGTTAAATGAGCAAGGTAATGAGTTCATTTCCTATCAAGCATTGTTGCCTCCTTCGTTTTTCCCCTACCATCCCTTCCCTCCCACCTCCACAGCTACTCTCCCCTGCCCCCCCTCACCTTCTGTGAGACTCTTATCTCTTATTAACCATCAGAAAACCTGAAGTGGCACTGTGGCTCAAGTGGTAGAACACTCGCCTTGAGCTGAAGAGCTGAGGGACAGCGCTCAGGCCCTGAGTTCAAGCCCCACGATCGACTAAAGAAACTAAATAAATAGCCACTTAAAAGAAAGCAGAAGACCAGCCAAGCAAACAAATCCAGCAAGTGTTGAGTCTGAGTTCAAACCTCAGAACCAAAATGTACCATATGCACCTTTCTAATTAAAGTTGCTTGGGATTGAGATTCTTAAGTGTTGTTGCTCTAATGCCAAATTTGTGCCAATTTCTGTCAGATTCTATACCAAATACCACCAGTGAATTCAGCTTTTTGTAGAGTAACTTAGAGAAACATATTGGTGGCTAGCTCATACCTTATCTTTCCAGCTGAATGAACTGTGTCAGATCAGAGAAGACTTTTGGTAAATATCTGAAGCTTTGCAAATACAATGGTATGAGCAAGGATAGAGCCAAAGGAATGGCTTGATGGTTAGCCAGGTAATACAGTGTGCTGAAAGCACTGGTCCTTTGCAGGAAATCATCCAAACTGGTAAAATTTATGAAGAGAAAAAGGAAGAACTACAGATCGAACTGTTAAAAAAAAATTCCAAGATTATTAGGTTTTTAATTAAACATGATGAACACATTTCAATATAACACAAAGGCCCCAGGCTGAACTGCACCTAATCGAAACAGATTAAGTCACCCTTCCATGCTTGGCTAGTTATTAATTCTGTTTATTTATGCATGCAGGCTGAAGGGAGCATTTGTTGCTGCTGTGCTGTTGCTCACTGCACTGGGATTCCATTGCTGCTTGGTGCTGTGCTCTTAATTAGCATTCAGCTGTTGATTATGGAAATACTGGGATGCTAATTGAATTCTTCTTAAAATTCAGGGCCTGCATTTTCCTCCTGGAAAATGCAGTTTGGTCTGACTTGCAAGGTTGTAAGATTGGATGCTCCACTGAGAAGTACTTCAGCCTTTGCTCCTTGTTCTGCAGGCTATGTTTGGCTTTGAAATTATTTTCATGTTGAATTAGCTTTCAGAAAAATCCAGGTGTTGCTCAAGTGAAGGTTCTATTGCGTCCAGGATTATAGCAGGATGTTTCCATGTTAACCAAGGTGACTATAGCTCTTATCTTGAAATAGTCACCCATTAAATATTTTATACCAAATTTGATGTCATATATCAGTGTGAACAAATAAGCTCTGTATTTTTTATCCAAAGAGTTAATCCACCATGGTGATAAACCTTAATTGA